CCCTTCATCTTCAACTCACCCTGTGCCCTCTATCTATCTATACAAACATATAATTTTTCCCCTACCACTACCCTGATACTGACAAAGGACTCATGAGTTACAAATATCATCTTTCCATGCAGGAATGTAAACAGTTCAACCTTAATAAATCTCTTATGATTTCTCTTTCCTGTTTACCTCTTCCATGTTTCACCTGAGTCTTGTATTTGAAGGTCAAATTTTCTATTCAGCTCTGATCTTTTCCACAGGAATGCTTGAAAGTCCTCTATTTCATTGAATGATCATTTTTTACCCTGAAGGATTATATTCAGTTTTGCTGGGTAGGTGATTCTAGGTTGTAGTCCTAACTCCTTTGCCCTCTGGAATATCATACTCCATGCCCTCCGGACCCTTAATGTAGAAGCTGCTAAATCTTGTGTTATCCTGATTGTGTTTCCACAATACTTGAATTGTTTCTTTCTGGCTGCTTGCAATATCTTCTCCTTGACCTGGGAATTCTGGAATTTGGCTATATTATTCCCAGGAGTTTTCCTTTGGGGATCTCTTTCAGGAGGTGATCGGTGGATTCTTTCAATTTCTATTTTGCCCTCTGGTTCTAAAATATCAGGGTAGTTTTCCTTGATAATTTCTTGAGAGATGATGTCTAGGCTCTTTTTTTGATCATGGCTTTCAGATACTCCAATAATTTTTAAGTTCTCTCTCCTGGATCTATTTTCCAGGTCAGTTGTTTTTCCAATGAGATATTTCACATTCTCTTCTATTTTTTTCATTCCTTTTGATTAGTGTTACAGTGCCTTGATTTCTCAAATTGTCCCTATCTTCCAATTTCTCCATTCTAATTTTTAAGGAAGTATTTTCTTCAGTGAGCTTTTGGACTTCCTTTTCCATTTGACTAATTTTGCTTTTAAGGGCATTCTTTTCCTCATTGGCTTTTTGGACCTCTTTTGCCATTTGGGTTAGGCTATTTTTTTAAGGTGTTATTTTCTTCAGTATTTTTTGGGTCTCCTTTAGCAAGCTGTTGACTTGTTTTTCATGATTTTCTTGCATCAATCTCAGTTTTTCTTCTACTTCTCTTACTTGCTTCTCAAAGGGAATTTTCTTTCGGACTTCAACCAAACTAGCGGGAGGTCCATGGAAGTTGGGAATACAGGAAACTTACCCAACCATGTCAAGGTTAGGACTCCAGCAAAAAACGGATCCTGAGGCGCCTGAGCATTGCCAAGGTGGGCTGGTGTTTTCTCCCATTCCTTCAGTTCCATCTGACATCATGGCACCATTAATGTCGACCTGAAAGTTTGTTAAAGAGACAACAAGCTAGGTGATAAGTAAATCCATATTGTTTTATTCCCTTAAGTTAGTGACATGTTACATGGAGCCAGAGCTTTAACTCTGACTGAATCAAACAATTTTAGGAGGACATTTAAACCCTGACTCAGGATGTCTGTGTTAATTGACAGGCAAATGTCAGATCCAAGATAATGCTCTTGATCTGCTCTAGATGTTGACACAGGAAGGGGCATTCTCAGTTCACTCAGGAAGAAAAGATTAATTCAGGTTTTTTACCCTTATTGGGGCTCAACTGATCTTAAATGATTATCACAAGATAAGAAAAGTCGCAGTATACAAGAGAGTGTCTGGTCCCAGATATCCCGTCCTTAGTGATCACAGACAGGAAGAATGCTGGTCAGTTCCGTCTGGTCTTGTAGTTGCTGACACAGGAAAGGGCATTTTTAGTTCACGCAGAAAAGATTAATTCAGGGTTTTGGCCCTTATTGGGGCTCAGTTGATGCTAAATGATTATCACTTCCTTATGACCCCTGCCCATCAGACTTTTTCCTGAATGCTCCTGCCTGGCCTCTCTGCTCAGAGGTCCAGAGCATGGATGAAAGGCCATTGGGGATGGGGGAGATGGATGTTTGTGTCCTGGGAGGAGGGAAAGGGAGAGGGAGGCAGGCAGAGAGAACTGCAGGGTAAGAGGAACTCATTGTCTTTCACCCCAAACTTTTCACTCTTCCAAATTTCCCTATTCTTGTCAAGGGTCCCAGTCCCCCAGGCTCACACCTCTGCTGTCATCCTCAGCTAATCCCTCTCTCTCACTCCCCATAGCCAATCAGCTGCCAGGGCCTGTCATTTCTACCTTGGAAATTCCCTTCTCTCCTCTGTCACTGCCCCTACCCTGATCCATGCCCTCATCACCTCACACCTGGATTATTGTGATAGCCTCAGATGAACAGGAGGGTGCCCCACCTGCCTCTGGTCTCTGCCCACTCCAGGCCACCCTCCATTCAGACACCAAAGAATTTTCCTAAAGCACAGGTCAGATCATGTCACCCCCTAATCAGGAAACTGCAGTGGCTCCCTGTGGCCTCCAGCAGCAAAGACAACATCCTCTGTTTGGCTTTTCAAGTCCCCCCTCACAACCTGGCCCCTTCCTCCTTTTCTAGGCTTCTTACCCCTTACTCTCCTCCACATACTGCAATCCACTAGCTGGGCTCCTGGCTGTTCCTCACACAAAATGCCCCATGGCTGGCATTTTCACTGACTGTCCCCTACATGTGCAAGGCTCTACCTCCTCACTTCTGCCTCTGCGCTCCTTTGCTTACTATGAGACTCAGCTAGCATTCCATGTTCTGGAAGAAGCCTTTCCTGGTCCCTCAGTTCTCTGTTCCTTTCCTGGGAGATCACCTTCCATTTACCTTGTTTGGATCTTGCTTGTGTCTGGGGATGTTTGCATGCTGTCTCCTCCACTAGAGAAGAAACTCCTCCCGCCCCCCCCACCTTTGGAGACAGCTGGTGGTGCTGTGGCTAGCACTGAGCCTGGAGGCAGGAAGACCTGAGTTCAAATCCAGCCTCAGACACTTACTGACTGTGTGACCCTCAGTCTTTGCAACTACAAAATGGGGATAGTAATAGCACCCACTTCCAGGGGTTGTCGTGAAGATGGAAAGAGAGAATCTTTGTAAAAAAAAAAAGTACTTAGTACCCACATGCACAAAAATATTTATAGCAGTTCTTTTTGTGGTGGCAAAGAATTGGAAATTGAGAGGATGCCCATCAATTTTGGAATAGTTGAACTAGTTGTGGTGTATGAATGTAATGGAATACTGTTGTGCTATAAGAAATGATGAGCAGGCAGACTTTAGAAAAACCTGGAAAGACTTTTATGGACTGATGCCGGAAGAAGTGAGAAGAACCAGGAGAATGTTGTACACAGTAAAGGCCACACTGTGCTATGACTAACTTTGATAGACTTAGCCCTTCTCAGTAATACAAGGATCTAAGACTTTTCCAAAAGTCTCATGGTGGAAAATGCTATCCACACGCAGAGAAAGAACTATGGAGTTTGAATGCAGGTCGAAACGTACTATTTACTCTTTTTTTTCTTCTGTTTTGTTTTGTTTCTTCTTTCTTGTGGTTGTTCCTATTGGTTGTAATTTTTCCTTACAACATGACTATTGTGAAAATATGTTTAATAGGAATGTATATAGCCTATATCAGATTGCACACCATCTGGGGAAGGGAGCTGCAGGTGGAGGGGGAGAAAATTTAAAACTCAGAAGCTCTTGGAAGCGATTGTTGAAAATGAAAAATAAATTAAAGAAAGTACTTAGTACAATCATTCACTCCCTTCTCATTTTTCTTTGTATACTAAGCATGGTGCTTGACACCTAATAGGTAATTGATAAAATTCTCTGCCTCCAAATGACTAGTCTTTTAACTGTAGCTAGGGAAGGAGAGAGGATCAGGGGAAAGGAAGACAAAGCATGAGGACAGAAGGAGGGCTAGGCAGGAAGAAGGTTGTGTTAAAGACAGGGGGGCAAAGTCATTGTCAGGCTGTAAAACTTCCCAGCCTGGCTGTCTTCATAGGTGATTGACACATCCTGAGCTGAGGCAAGTCTGGGGCAGAGATATCCTCACCTGATGAGGAAACTAAGGACCAGGGACCGTGAGAGATTCCCCTGGGGGGGTGCGGGGGGTCCAGGAAATGAGATGCCCTAAGTCCCTGGGCTGTGGCTGGGTACCTGAGCCTCTGAGGAGTGTGGGGGCTAGGGGATGAAATTTCCCTAAGGATCCCGAAGCCGGGCTGCTAAGGTGCTGTACCCTGGCATGACTTGCTTTTGACCCAATGGTTAAGTAATAATGGGTTTTCTTTCCCCAACCTGAAACGGATGTTTGCTCAGCCAGAGGGACATAAGAAGGAAAGTTGGATCACCTGGGGTGGGGTGACAGAAGCAACCTTCGGCTCCCATACAGACCAAGGCTCCAAGACCATGGGACCCCAGCTGTTCTGGCTCCTTGCAGCAGCCCTGGCTGTTCCTTGTATGTTGTGGGGGTGACTGGTCACCTGGGTCCTCTGGCAAGGACCAGGAGACCAAGCTGCAAGATCTGGGGAGGGGGAGGGGGATGGATTCTGGACAGTGGGCTCATCCTTTTTGTGGGGAAAAGGGGGAGGAGGGCTAGACCTCTGGGTGCCTAAAAGTGTAGAGTTGCAGATCCAGTCAAGTGGGTTGGTTTGTGGGGGAGGCAAGAATTGGTGAATGGGGACTCCTTGGTTCCTGATAGGGTGGAGGCTGGGGATCTCAATGCCTCAGTCCTTCAGGGAGAGGTAGGGGGGTGGGGTGGGGTGGGGGGAATGCAGGAGCAGGAACTTGGACCTGGAGAGTGGAGAGAATCCTCTGAGTCCTTTGTCCAGGTGTCTGACGGGGGAGGGTTTGGGTGGCCAAGGGTTAAAAGAACCAGACAGAAGCAGCTCCGAAAAGACCATGCCTGCAGGCAGTTGGTTGCTCTCAGCTGGTATCTTGGAAGGACTCCTGAAACTGCAGCCACGGGGAGCTGTTTGAAACCTGGTTGCCTCTCACCCGTGGCATAATCCTGAGCATATCACTTCACTGCCATGGGCCTCAGTTTCCACACCTGTAAAATGGGATGCTTCCAGCTCCAGATTTGGCGTGCTCCTCAACCTGAGGGGTTGAGGTCACCAAGAAGGAGAACAGCATCTAATGGCAGCTGTTCCTTCCCCAGGCACCAAGGCCCTGATCTGTAAGAAAGGCTATCTGATCCATGATGATGACAGATCAGCTTTCCCCATCTCATGGAATGTCAGTGGGACTGAGACCTGTGAGCCAGGGGAAGGATGTCAGGAGACCCTTATCATTCTGGAGTCAGGTATGGAACTCTGGAATAAGGAAGGGGCTCTGGGACCCTCTGCACTTCCCCAGCCCACCACCAACCTCCCCAGTGGCTCTAGTGTCCTAGGCCACCAGCTCTTGGACCTCCACCTCCCAACTCCAGGTATCTGGGCCCAACCTGCCCCTTCCCCTTCCATCAGCAATCTCTTCCCCCCTGAAGGAAACAGAGTGGGTGCAGTTATCAGTAATGGGTGCACCGGGGCCCAAGCCCACGAAGCCAAGGACATCCAGCACAGAGCACCCCCTGGGGTGACCATTGCATCCTTCACCAAAGTCTGCTACTCACCCCTGTGCAATGATCTCAGCACCACCCTTCCTTTGTGGACTCCAGAACCCACAGGTACCCGGGGCTGAAGGAGGGAGGAAAGAGGGCTGAGAAATCACAGAGGTAGAGAGATGGAAAGGGGGAAGGAGGGGAAAGGAGGCAAAGAGACATACAGAGGTGAGTACAGGGGAGGGGAGACTGAGAGAAAAAACAGGGAGAAAGATGGGGAGAGCAGATGGATAGAAGCAGGGGGAGAGTGGAGATGGTGAAAGACAATGGGAGAGATGAAGAAACATGGACGAACAGACAGAGGGTGGAACAAGGGGTGTGGTCCAAGTTCAAAGATCTGGGCCTCCCCTGCACCACCTCTGGTCCCACTCCCCATTCTCTTTCCCTCCCCAGATGCCCCAGCACAAGGGGGATTGCAGTGCCCACACTGTGTGTCTCCTTTCTCCTGCCTTTCTGATGCTCCCCTGGTCACCTGCCCCTCAGGCACAACTCACTGCTACAGTGGAACCATCCGACTCTTTGGAGGTGAGGACCACAGGCCTGAGGACCTCATGGGAGCTGGGGCTGAGAGCTTGACCTCCGGGAGTCTGGGCTGCTGTCCAGAGTGCTGGATCTCTTGACTGGAGCTGGGTTCAGGAGCAGGACTTGTCCCCCTTAGAGGCACCTGCATCCCAAGCCCGTGGGTCAGTCCATCTCACCCCCTTCTGTCTCTCTCTATAGGGGGGCTCTCCCATCCTCTGAGGGTTCAGGGCTGTGTTCCCCACAGTGGTTGCCAGCTGCTCAATGGGACAAAGGCGATTGGGCCCATTTCTCTGACGGAGAGCTGTGAGAGTGAAGGGAGCCAGGGTGAGTCAGGGGACCCCTCAGACCCTCGTTAGCCTAGGGTCATTCTCTTATGAACCCTGAACTTCTTGGACCCTGGACCTCCACTTGATCCCCCTGCCCCTCCCAAAATCTGACTTACCCAACATATCCCCAACCTCTCTGTAAGGCTGACACGCTCATGATATCCCCTTCTCATCAACCAACAAGCATTTATTAAATATCTCCTCTGTGCCAGGTACTGTAGCAGGCACTGGGGTTACAAAGACAAAAAAGAAGCTGTCCCTGCCCTCAGGAAGCTTATACTCTATCAGAAAATTCAAGCAGGTACACCTACATACATAGCTGAAATGGACATAGACATAGATACAAAACATATTCAGTATATTGGGAGGGGGAATCAGTAGCAAGGCCCTTTCCCAAGGATTCCTCCTCCCCACCCTCTCCTTGCCCTGGACAGCCACTCAGCATTGACTCTCCAAGGGAATATGGGTTCCCAAAGGATCACAGCAGTGAGGATGAGAGGAGATCTAGAGGGGAGATGCATCCCCAATTAAGCCTCCTCCTGCCACCTGGTGCCAAGGTCTCTCTGTAGAGGCAGAGTGTAAGAGGGTCCTAAAGATGGGGCAGAGGGCATAGGGAGCTTTGGCTGGTGGCCTTGAAACTTGGCCTGGGGGGCTCGACATACGGCTCCCCTGACTCCAGCTGTTTTCTCTCCTTAGACACCAGGGCCCAGGTCTGCTTCAAGGGGCACCTATTTGAAATTAGGGACAAATCAGATCTCCCTATCTCCTGGATGGCCCACCACAGAGAGACCTGCAAGCCAGGGGAAGGCTGTCAGGACACTCTGATTCTCCTGGAATCTGGTAAGGTGTAGAGGGGGCTCTGAGACTCTCCAGTACATCCTCAGGCCTTCCCCTTTCATCTACCCAGGCAACCCAGACTCCCAGCTCTTAACCCAGATAGCAAGGCACCCACCATCCCCACACATCTCAGCATCTGGCCCCAAGGCGCAGATTTATAGGCTCACTACAGTCCCCACTGCTAAGGTTCATCTCCCATCCCTGCAGGGGACAAAGTGGCCATCGTCCTCAGCAAAGGCTGCCAGAGAGGCCGCACTCAGGAACCACTCCACACATGGCACGTAAGGCCCCCAGGGGTGACCATCACCTCCTACACCCACGTCTGCCACTCAGACCTCTGTAACAACCTCAACTCCAGCTTCCCTTTGTGGCACTCCCAACCACCCACAGGTACCCTGAGCCGGGAAAGGGAGGGAGGGAGGGGAGAAGGAAATGGGCCAGAGAGATAAAGAAAGAGGACACAAGATGGTGGCAGAAGGTAAAGGTCCTTCTTATAAGGCCTCTCCCAGCCCTCACATCCCCTGTCCTAAGGCCCCTCCCAGCCCTGACATCCCCTGTTCTACAGCAGTGTAAATGCTTCCCACTCATTCTACAGCATTACTGAATCCTCACAACCACAAGCCAAAACACAAAGGTTTTATTCCCATCTTAGAGCTGTCGCTCTAAGGAGAAGGAGTCACACAGATTAGTGGAGAACAGAGCCAAGATGAGGAAGTAGATTCTGGGCTCTTTCATTGACAATCACCATGAAGATGAGGGGACCCAGAGAGCTGCAGGGAGAGACAGAGACAGAGGGAGCAGAGGGGAAAACCATGGGCACCCTTGATCCCCAGCAAGCCCCTGACTCTCTTCCTCCCCATACAGCTGCCCCTGCCCCAGGTGGTTTCCTGTGTCCCACGTGTGTGGCCTTGGGATCCTCCTGTTCAAACCCCAAGCTTTCCCTTTGCCCAGTGGGCACCTCCCGGTGTTACCAGGGACTGCTCAGACTCAGTGGAGGTGAGAGCCCTACCTGGCTCCTTCTGGAGCTGGGGCTGGGGGATTAGAACACCTGGGACCCTGAAAGAACAGGGATCAGGGGATCAGGAGGTCTCAGAGATCTAGGCTATAAGATGTCAAATCTGGAAGCCTGATTCCCTTGGGAGGGGGTGGTAACTGGAGGAGCTGGACTTCTGGGTCCCTGGGGGGTGGTGGTAACTGGGGGATCTGGCCTCCTCCGTCCCTGGGGATTGGTAACTGTGGCATCTGGATGGCTGGGTCCTCAGTTCTACAATGAGAGCTTTTTCTGTGTCTCTCTGGAAACAGGAGGGATTTCATTTGACTTGGGCATCCAGGGCTGTGCCCCCAAAGCTGTCACAGGCTGCAATCTGCTTGGGAAAACTCAGGCTTTTGGGCCCATTGGTGTGACGGAGATCTGCCAAGGATAAGGGAGATTTGAGGACCAGACCTTCAGCAACAGGGTCTCTGCTACCACAGTGCCAGCCTGGGGAATGGGAGCTGGATTGCTCCTGGCCCTGTGGGGGTGCCTCCCCCGACTCTGAGGGTCTCTGGCTCTTCCGTGACCCATTAAGATCTTGAGAGCCCACTGACCCATTTTGCTACAAGAATGACTTAAACACAAATGGCTCCTCACTCCCAATTACTTCCCTCCCATACCCCTGTACCTTGATTCTGGAAGGGGGTTGGCAGGAAGCATTTGGAAGTATTCATTGAGACTCAAAATACAATCCACTCTACCCAAATGGGGCCTCAGTCTGTCTATGGCATGATGGAGCAGGAGAAACCAAAGACCATCCCCCTCCCTCCCTTTCTCTCCCCCACTCCCTGCCTCGTCCATGGTCCTAGCTCAACTCGAGACAGACCGGTGACCTCTGCACCCACTCTCCTCATAGAATGGCCCCAGCTTAGTGGACAGAGAGCTGAGAGATCTGGGGACAAGTCAACCTCTGACCTATCCTGGCTGTGAGATCCTGGACAAATGACTTCCTCTTAGCCCCTAATGCTGACTTGCGTTGGTTTATCGGATTGGCGCCATTTATTCAGAAACCCACATGTGTCAGATGAGGAAACTGAGGCCCGGGAAAGTCAGGTGATGCCCCAAGGTCCCACTGCTACTCTGCCTTAGAAGTGGGATTTAAGCCTAGCTCCTTTGGTCTGAGAGTCAGGAATTTTTCCCCTGCAGAGGAAATTTCCTCATGGGGACTTCTTCATCCAGATTACATCACAGTTTAAAAAGAAAAAGATGACCCAATGAGCCAACTGTCCCCTTGCTCTAGAGAGCACCCACCTGCCAGAAGTGAGCTTATCCAGGACTTCTTCCCTCTCCTCAGTGGTCTCATCCTTTCAGTGTCCCCCATCTGCCCTCAATGGTCTCATCTACACAGTGATACCCCCCATCTCTCCTCAGTGGTCTCATCCTCACAGTGTTCCCCCCTCCCACTAGGAGCCTCAAGCCTGTGATCCCCACTACTAGAGGGTAGAAACGATAAATGCAGATAACTTTGATACCTGACATTAAACTATTCAATAAAAAATTCATTAAACACCAGCTACAGGCACGCCACTGTGCCAGGTGCTGGGGATACAAAGGAAAACCATTCCATCCCTGCCCTCAGGGAGCTTCCACTCTACCAGGGAGAATGCAACATGTCCCTCCCTCTGTTAGTGCTTCGTGGAGCAGTTGGCCCCAGCTGACTCTTGGATGAAGATCGGGATTATGAGAAGCAGACACAGAGAAAGAGCATTTTAAAGACAATTTAGATGACCGAGGAGAGACATGAAATGTCAAGTTCAGGGTCAGGGTGTGTGATTTCACTGGCATGGGAAGTCCCAGGTGAGGAAGCTCCCTGCAGGCTGGAGCCTTCTCTGCCAGCTCGTCTTCTGAGCAAGCACTTCCTAAAGCATGGAGCGGTAAAATGCCTCGTGCCAGATCACACAGCTGGGATGTGTCCCAGGTCTTCCTGGCCTAAAGGCCAGCTCTCAGCTCTCTGCTCCAAGAACAGGCACAAATAGTCCGTGGGAACTTTGGGAGTGGAGATGTCTACATTTTTGTATCTCACTTCTCTTTTGAACTGTAGCAGTTCTGTCTTGCTCATAGAGCCCAGCGCCTTCTTTGATGCAGGCAAGCCATGTTGGGTGGTCCAGGTCTCCCAATGGATACTAAAGTTCTTCAGAGAGACCTTGAGGGTGTTCTTGTATAGCTTAAAAGTACTCTCTCATCTTGAACCTTTTTCTTTTAAAAATAATCTGTTTATGGGGCAGCTAGGTGGCACAGTGGATAGAGCACTGGCCTTGGAGTCAGGACAACCTGAGTTTAAATCTGGCCTCAGACACTTAACACTTACTAGCTGTGTGACCCTGGATAAGTCACTTATTTGCCTAGCCCCCCAAAAATTATTTATTTGTTTATTCAGTTTTAGTTTTCAACATTCACTTCCATAAGATTTTGAGTTCCAAGTTTTCTCCCCAACTCTCCCCTTCCCCCTACCCTAAGACAGCATACAATTTCATATAGGCTCTACATATACATTCATATTAAACCTATTTTCACATTAGTCATGATGTAAAGAAGAATTAGAACCAATGGGAGAAAGCATGAGAAAGAAGAAACAAAAAAAGAAAAGAAAAGAAAAAAAGAGAGTGCAAATAGTATGCTTGAGTCTGCATTCAGACTCCATAATTCTTTTTCTGGATGTGCATAGCATTTTCCATCATGAGTCTTTTGGAGTTGTCTTAGATCTTTGCATTGCTGAGAAGACCTAAGTGTATTAAAGTTAGTCATCACACAATATAGCTGTTACTGTGTACAACATTCTCTCGTTGAACATTTTTCTTTCCCTCCATCTTCTGGCCTTCACTTTGCCCTGGTTCCCTCTTGATAACATGGAATCTCTGATCACACTTCCCAGGACTGTTTGCACCTTTACTCATCAGTTGTGTCAGGGAAGCAGGGGTACTCCTCCTTCCTCAATGGCACTTCCAGGCTCTCCCTCTACCACCAGTAACCTCTCCTGCTCCAACATTCATTCAAGCCAAATAAATCACCTACTCAAGATCCTAGTAACTATTATTTGCCAATCCCACAGATATTGTCCTTCCTTCCTCCATGCCTGAAGGCACTGACTCACTGTCTTTGCCTCCAGCCTAACTCCTTTCCTTAGCCTAAGAGCTTTTACATCAAATACCCCCACTTCCTAGTTCTTCAATTCACTCTGCACCCATGACTTCCTTCTTTGCTCCACCTCAACCACACACAGTCATGCCCTTGATTTTCCCATCACCCACAAATGATCTACTTTCATGTTCATCAATTCCAAAATTCCTTTATCTGATTTTATCATTCCAACGTTCCCACTACTTTACAACCACTTGCTCATCTATGATGTGACCTCCAATCCCTCCATCCCTCCTTTCTCTCCCAAGACATTTCCCTGAGCACTGACTACACTCTCCTTCCCTCTCATGACCCCTTGGTGAACCAGTTCAAGGCTATACTATCACTTAACCTTGAATCCCTCGTCCCCTTGCCCTACTGCCCTTCCAAGCCTCATCCTTGGATGACTCCCACCAACTGCTCCCTTCTCACTTATTTCTGTGGTACTGAGCTGGAGAAAATCAGGAAATCGTTGACTGGGTCAACTACAAATTTACGCTTCATTATCTGAGTGGGCCCTCACTGGGCAAAGCAATTTTTTTTGCCCCTCCCTAATCAATTCATTATTCTACTCACCATAATGGCTATCTCAGGCTTTCATCCTTCCTCAAACCTCCCATGTCAACACTTCCCTACCATCGTCTCAGCTGAGAACCTTGCCTCAGACTTCACTCAAAAATTGAGGCCGTTAGCTGAGGACTCTGTCTTCATCTCATAATGCTCAGTTGCCTTCCCCCACTACTTCCTCCTTCACTTATGTCTCAGGAAGAGGCAGCCCTTCTCCTGGCCAAGGCAAACCCTTCTAAATGCACAAGAGATCCCATTCCAGTCCTTCTCTGGCAGACTGCTCCTTCGGTCATCTCTATTCTCTCACTCATGTTCAATCTCTCACTGCCCATTAGTTAGTTCTTCTTCCTATAAATGTGACCATGTCTCTCCCACCCTAAAAAAACCAAACAAACCCTCATTTGATCCATTCATTCCATGAGGTATCAACCCATGTCTCTCCTTCCTTTTGTGGTTACACTCCTCCAGGAGGCTGCCTGCCATTTATGCCCCCACTTCCCCTCCTCTCACTTCCTTCTCGCCTCTCTGTCTTCTAGCTTCTGACCTCATCATTCAAATGAAATTGCTCTCTCCAGTTACCAATCATCTCTTTTTATTAAATAATATTTTATTTCCCCCCAATTATGTGTAAAGACAATTTTAACATTCTTTTACAAAAGTTTTTGAGTTCCCAACTTTCTCCCTCCCTCCCTCACATCCCCTGTCCCTGAAACAATAAGCAATTTTATATAGGTTGTACATGTGCTATCATGCAAAACATATTTCCATATTAATCAAGTGGTGAAAAAAAAGACAGACCCAAAGAAAAGAAAAAACACACAAAAAAGCGAAAAATAGTATGCTTCCAGTTGCATTCAGACTCCATCCAATGGTCTCTCAACTGCCTTTCTTTTTGCTCATATTTGTATCCCCAGTGCTTAGCACAGTGCCTGATTAGTGTGTAATATAATAAGCACTTAATAAATGCTTCTTGATGACTGAACTGCCTCTGATCTTTCCCCATTCAGTTGTCAAAGTGATCTTCCTAAAGCCCAAGCCAAACTACATTGCTTCCCTACTCAATACACTCCAATGGCTTTTTATCACCTCCAGGATCAAATATAAAATCCTCTGTTTGACACTTAGATCCCTTCAAAATCGTGCTCCTTCCTACCTTTCCAGTCTTCTTACACTTTATTCCTTTCCACATACTCTGTGATTCAGCAATACTGGCATCCTTACTGTCCCTCAAACAAGACACTCCATCTCCCAACTCAGTGCTCCTTTCACTGGCTCTTCCCCATACCCGTAACTCTCCTTCCTTACCTCTGCCTCCTGGGTTCTCTAGCTTCCTTCGAGACTTAGCTCAGATCTCATCTTCTCCCAAAAGTCTTGATTATTCTTTCCCCCTACACACCCCTAGCCCCAAGCCGGCCAGGTGAGGACCTTGGGAAGTTCAGAAAGTTGGAGGATGTGGACTTCTCCCTGGAGTCCTAGCAGCATCCCTGAGACACCAGCAGCTGGTGGCACTGTCTGCAGTGGAAGCCAAGACAAACCAGACCCTCTGAGGAAAGGCAGCTTCAGGACTCTGTAAGGAAACCAGCAAAAACTACAGCTTATTTCAAGAGAATTTCATGGGGGGCAGCTAGGTGGCCCAGGGGATAGAGCCCCAGCCTTGCAGTCAGGGGACCTGAGTTCAAATGTGACCTCAGACACATAACACTTACTAGCTGTGTGACCCTGGGCAAGTTACTTAACCCCATTGCCTAGTCAAAAAACAAAAGAGAGAGAGAGAGAGACAGAGAGAGAGAGACAGACAGACAGACAGAGGGAGAGAGACAGAGAGAGAGAGAGAGAATTTCATGGGTATCCCATGAAGGGCAGAAAAGGACTTCCAGCAACCAGGACTAGTAAGTTATGCCTTGGCCACATGCACTCTCTAAGCCTGGCTACAAAAGCCCACAACCAGTTGAATCAACATGTCTTTCCTGATGGTGATGGAGACAAGGATTGCTGTGAGTTTTCAGGTTGGGAGGAAGTAGG